ATATAGTGTTTCTTTCCTTACAATCCTCCATGTGGGGCATAAGTCATTCTTGGAGACCCTGCAGGTTCAATGCAAGAAATGCATGAACAACAATAGGAAGTGTCTGTGGAAAAACATGCAATTTGGAGCATATGCTTGAGCACATTAAGTAAAGGTTGTAAGTCATTTGTGGGAAGAATATGAAACAATAATGAATCCAACAAACACACTCATCCAAATGAATGCAAAACTTATATTCACACCTGCACTTGAATGTTTGTAGCAACTTTATTCACAATTGCCACAACTGGGAAGCCACCAAGATGTCATTAAGTGAATGGATAAATAAATACTAGTACATCCAGGCAATAAAATATTGTTCAGTAAGCTACCAAGCCATGAAAAGACATGGAAGAATTTCAAATGTAAATTAGTAAGTAAAAGGAGCCAGGCTGAAATGGTTACATACTGTATGATCCCAAATATTTGACATTCTGGAAAAGGCAAAACAACGGAGAATAAAAAGACCAGTGGCTGCCAGAGGTTGTGGTTGGAGGCATGAACAGGCAGAGCACAGAGGGTTTTTAGGTCAGTGAAATACTCTGTATGATACTATAATAGTGGACACATGTCATACATTTGTCAAAACCCACAGAATATACAACACCAAGAGTGAATCCTAATGTAAACTAAGGACTCTGGGTGATAATGAGGCATCAATTTAGCTTCATCAATCATAACACATGTAACACTGTGGTGTGGGATGTAGATAGTGGGGAAGAGTGTTGTTCTGAAAAGTTAAAAACAGAAAGGAGGGATCCTTATACAAAAAGGATGTGAGGATGAAATTAGAAAAATGAAAATAATGCCACAGGAAATGACCAAAAGCCTTTTTAAGTCTTTAGCATGAAAAACTAGAAGTTATTTCTCCAGGGAGCTGAGACTAAGAGTGGGCTCCACATGCATGAGGAATGGTTTGCATGGGTATAAAGGAGGGGAGGGGGCGTGTTTTTTTAATGCATCTACCAACACTTAGGAAGTTTGAAGATAGTTGGCGCCAAGAGACGGGGGTAGAATAAAGGAACAATACTAACAAAACACAATTTCAATTTGGAGAAGAACTCAGAGTTCTGTGGAAAAGAAGGATGTTATACTTATAAACAAAGAGGTTGGCGGGAATGCAAGTGGGAGGAAGAGGTGATCCTGGGCTGAACAGAAAATTGGCAGCTTCAGAGTTCAAATTTGAATAATGGCTCCCTACCACCTCTACACATTTGTGACCTTAGGTCAGTGAAATACTCTGTATGATACTATAATAGTGGACACATGTCATACCTTTGTCAAAACCCATGGAATATACAACACCAAAAGTGAACCTTTAGGGTATCTAAGCAATTAATGTTTCCTTCTACTCCGATATTACAGGCAAGCTATGTAATTTTAGGAGCCAGGATAAGATCTTTCTACCAATCAAAAACTGTTTCCTGCTTGCTAATGCCAGAAATCCTGCCCTTCAACTCAATTTCATTGGCTTTTGTCACTTATTAAAACGCAAATACCCATAAGGAGAGATTAGATTTCAAACCTACAATTCAAGTGTAATTTACTGTGAATTCATTTATCAGATCTGAGAATATGGTTTTGATAGAAGAAAGCATGTAGTAAGCTCAAGATCAGTGAACACCAGAGAAAAGTTTGGGCAGGAGACTGAGAATATTTGTAACACTGTGAACTATAAGCTTTGGCAAAAATTCAATTTTCTTTCTGATTATGGAATCACTGAATGTTTGCAAGGTAACCAGACCAATGATTGTCTGTTATTTTTACTATTATCATTAATCTTGAAATGGGTAGTAGAGAGTGGATTTTATGGACGGAAAGGAGTTTTCTATGCATTTCAGCGTAGCTCACTGAAGTGCTACACTGGGGCGACAGAGGAGTCATTTGCCAGCCTTTGTCCTTTGTCTACTTATTTTCCTGATTCCCTTGAGCTCTCTTGTGAGCTTCTTGGATGCCACTGCTACCATGCTAGCCTCCCACCTCCAGGGTTCTGAGGCCCTGCCTGTCCCAGGCTCTGTCTCCCAATCTCTTGCCCATGTGACAGCAAAATGACCTAGCAGCAACACAGCACCCAGTTTGGAGACCCTAAACCTCACAGCCCTGCACACAAACATCTTACAACTTACATGACTGATTTCGAGAACAGCCTCCCAGCCTTTACCATTCCTTCCCTCTTTGGTTTGGAGACTTGTCTGTTCCTGAGATAATGAATAATTATCTTTCAAGAGAGGCAGCTGCCCTTCCCTCACACCTTTCTATGCCCATACATTCTCCCTTGGATATTGGTGAACTCTGCTGTAAGCCAAATAGATATTGTACCCAAACGATAATATTATACCTATGTAACAAGAAACAGAAATATAGGCATGTCCAATGATGTTACACAAACTCTTCCCATTAGAAAGAATAGTCTCTAGTGAAGGGTCCCTACATCTATTTATATCACCCTGATGCATGGCATAGTGTCTCATGCAATTAGGTATCCAATAAATAATTGTTGCATTCAAGAATGGATGAATAAATTCAATAATTATCCCCCGCTGATTAAAATCTAAAGGGAAAGACTAACTCAGTGCTCTGATGCAGTCCTAGATAAATTCTGATTTTAAGGACATTATCAATAAAGCCTCCATTGCTCAAGCTCCAGCATGTGAATTCTCACTGCTATTCACTTTCTAGCACAAGCACTTTAAATGCACTAATCTAGAGAGATTAATCAACTAACAACACACTGGTGATGGTATCACCCCATGTTAAGGAAATACTTTCAAAACTAAATATACAGTCTCTGAGAAAAAATTAGGTTACTATAATCAAAACAAGAAAAATGTCATAACTAGAAAGAGCTAGTATTTACTGAGTACCTACTATGTGCCTGGAAATATGATAGGTGCATCATTCATATTATTTTAGGTAACCTTTAGAACAACCCTACAAATAAGGAAAATCCCCATTGTGAAAATTTTATTTTTTTCTAAAATGACCCATTGTTAGATATCCCCACACAAATGTCTATATAGATATTAAAATAATATTCTCACTAAAAATTATATGCACAAGAGCTATTTCACTTGTACATTAATAGCTCTAGAGGAATATACATGAGACAACCACTAATGACTTAACACAGTCTTCATGACACCAAAATAGGGCCATGGTACCAAGAAATAAAAAGTCCACAGGGTAGAGCCTCTGCCCCATATTCAGTCAGGGAGACTCCCTGGTGTCATAGGCAATAAATGTCCAGATACCATTCCAGACAACTTTCTGAATTGGAGTGTTCTTCAAAGTTTCTCGTGTTGCTCCTCCCAAGTAGCAACATTTCTGCCTTCAGAGTCATCAGCCTGAATCAGTCATTCTCACCATTCACTCTCAGTGTTTCTTCATCATGCTATGTTCAAATTCAGTGCCACCATTCTACAATATCCACGGCCCCCTACCCACTAGGCTTCTCGCTTTTCCACATAGTAAAGGCTTTGTCCTTTGCACCTTTGTCAGCAAACAAGAATTTCTTTTTGGGAAAGGTGTGGGACCTTGAGTCCCCCCAGCCAGCTTCTGAGCATACAGTTTGTGTGGGGTGGCCCAGTGCTCAAAGATCTTCCCATTTTTGCACATTTTTAAAATAAGGCTCAGAAGTGTTTTGGTACAAGGTCACTTGTTCAAGAAGTTAATTGCACAGACTTTGGAGCTAGGTTGACTAGGTTTAAATTTGGACCAGCCTCTTCCTAGAAATGTGCATTAGTCCACCTGAGCTACTAAAGCAAAACACCACAGACTGGGTAGTTTATGAACAACAGAAATTTATTCCTCTCAGTTCTGGAGGTTGAAAACCTGAGAACAGTTGCCAGCATGGTCAGCTGAAGCATCTGTTTCATGTCACAGGATTACCTTCTGTCCTTAAATGGTGGAAGAGACTAGGGAGCTTTGTGGGGTTTATTTTATAATAGCATTAATCCCATTCTCAAAGCCTCCATCCTCATGAAGAAAGAACCTCCCAAAGTCCCCGCTCCTGATACCATCACTTTTGAGGGCTAGAATATGAACATATAAATTTCAGATGGGGGTTGGAGAACACAAATATTCAGACCATAGTACTGAACAAAGTTTAACACTTCTGTACCTCAGTTTTCTCATCTACAAAATTGTATCAGTTACTAAATTATTGTCTCCTTCTCCTAACCCATCTTTCTATAATCTGCTTTGCAACGCTAAGCCGAGAACAACACAAAAACACATTTCCAACTGAATCAGGAGCTTCTGGTCAGCTCTACCAGCAGGGGGCTCTCTGAGGGCAGCTGAGCAGGAGGAGCAAAGGAAACTTGATTCATTTCTTGTGGCTTCCTTTGAGCCCCACTCCGCAGTAAAGCCTTCTCTCCTTCCTGCAGTCACTAAATTCAGCTTGCACTTTTCTCAGTACATAGTTCCTCACTTAACAGCAAAGATAGTACAGGTTCTAGAATTCCACAACTTTAAGCAAATATAACAAAACCATGTCCTCCAATAACATCATTTAGTTCAACAGTGGAGAGAAATTTTTTCACAATCAACCGTAACAAAAGGTCTTTGAACAAAACATTATTCTAGGACCCAGCCTACTTGTAGAATCAGCCTTAGATTGTGTCACCTGACACCCTCTTCATAGAGGTTTGAATTTCAATTCTGTGTGCACCCTCCTTAACTATCTAAGAAAATTTAGTAATCCCAACTCTTTCCTTTGTTCCCTCAGTCCTAAGTGCTGATTCCTGAAATTGCTAACACCCCCACCATACCTGACATCACCTAATTAATAACTTTACCACCAGTTAACAGTTCCTCATATGAAATTCTCGCCATTGAAATTATTGGAGTGATTTCATTCTCCTGACAGACCCTGGGGGATACAAGAACACCTACTTCACAGAGGTGTTAAGAGTAATAAATGAGTGACCCTTGATCCTTGTGAAGTACTCATAACCCCGTACCATAACAGGGCTTGCTGTATCCATGTCAGCTATCATTATCTGGCAAGGGTTGAAGCTGGGTTGGAAACTCAGGTCTGTTCATCTTCTTACCAATCTAATTCCATTAGAGAAACATGATGCTTCTCTAAAAAAAAAAAAAAAAAAAAAGCTACTATCCGCTCAGGCACAGGGCTAAGTGCTTTCACAGCTGTTACCTCTTTCAATCTTCTTAAGCACCTCTTAGATGCTTTGCATCCTTGAAGTGTTTTTTCCCTCCAACAACTGACATCAAAAAGGTATTCTGGGTTAATATGCCCATTATTTTAAAAGGTTAGGCAAGTACACCAAAGAGTTCAAACATCTATATTAGAATGATTTTTTAACATGAGCTTCTCCAAATACTAATGAATCTATATATATCACGCCACTGTCATTTCACCAGGAAATGACAAAATTTAAATAGATGTGTGTGGGGGGGATCAAGATTCTGGAATTTCAAGTTTTCTGCTGTTTTGAATATCTAAAGTATAAATTAAATATTGAAGAATTGAAAAACTTTAGTGTCTAATTTGTGGCACCAGAATATAAATGCTTTCATGTGTATTATTTCACTTTATCTTTGAACTATACTATACTATACTGTACTATAGGTACCATCATCTTCGTATAAATATGGCCAAGGATTCATAGCTAGCAAAGTGCCAGAACCAGGAATTGAAAGCAATTCTTTCTGACTCATGGTGCTCATGTTTTAGCCAATTCACCACAGGTCATAGGTGAGGGCTAATCTTCCTAGCAGTTGCTGAGAGAATGAAGTTTAGCAAAAACATGGACTGAGATAGGAAAAAATGTCTTCACCATGAAGGGCTTAGAGAATAAAAGAGTTGAATCTTACACAGAGTATCTTTGACCTTGCTTGCAGAATCACTTGTAAGTCATGAGAAATTATCAGATTCTGTCACTGGGTTTCCAGAATATCTCTCACTTGACTTCATGTTAAGAAACTCTCCGGGCCTCCCCGGTGGCACAGTGGTTAAGCACTGGGTTGCGAAGCTGCCCGCAGCCTCTGCAGCACCGGTTCGATCCCCGGCTGCTCCCCGGCCACCGGAGGAGGGTCCCACATGGCGCGCAGACCTCTCCTGCCGCCCGCTGCTCCCCTCAGCAGTGTATTTCGTCACTCTGCCTGTTCTGCTCTCCTCTCTGGCTCTGGTGAATCCTCTCACCCTCCCACGCTTCTGACTGTAACCAGTGCTTGTATAAATAAATAAGTCAATCTTAAAAAAAAAAAACTCTCCAATTTTAGTTTTACTATTACAAAGGCAAACTAAGTAAAAATCCCCAAATACTTTATTTCTGGATGCATCCTTACCTTCCCAGAATAAAAAAGCACCCTCATAATAAACATTTCTCAAAAGAACAATGCAGAAGGGGCGAAAAACATACCTTTTGCTTGGTGCTTGATTTTAGGCCAACTCGAGAGTGACTTTTGGACTAGAGAAAAAATGAGAAAGAAATAGTATGAAGAACACAGTACAGTAGTAGGACTGTAGGGGGGCAGGAGGGACACAGAGCAGGATCTCTATGACCTGATCTCTATGACGGAGTAAGGATGAGTCCTAGAGAGTCTCCAGTGGCTTTTCAGGCTTTTATTGGGATTTACCAGGTACACGGTAGGCAGGGGTGCTGGGCCTCCCAGCCCCCAGCAAGTCTTCACTCTATCTGGGCTCTCCAGCATCCGCTGGTGGTCTCTGCTCTGTTTCCCTGCTTCTGCCCATTCGTTTTGCTCTCGTGGTTCTGCTTCTGCTAGCGTCCCCATGATGCTGCCCTTATAAGCCCAGTCTCAGCCCAGGTGAATCCCATCTACATAGGCCCACACCCCACTCCAGGTGCCCGCCATCAGGCATGTATTCAGGACCGCAGGGATCCATCATCAATCCTAATGGCGGGAGGGCAGAAAAGCCTGATATCATTCACTTACCCTACAAGGACTTATTCTGAAATCCTTTCTTTTTTCCAAAGTTATTTCTTTAGAAGATAAAATTTTAAGACAAAATAATTTCTCTTAACCTTCCTTCACCATCTCTAGAAATTCTAGCATAGACTCCACAGTTGAATTTTATATACCGAATGGAAGATGATTTAAGTCTTGGAGCTGAGAATGCAAAGAGGCCCCTACATATACTTTGTCAATGACTTGCTCACATTTACCAACTCAGCATCTTTCTTAGAGGACACGAGCTAAAACCAAAAATTGCCAACACATGAGAAAATTCTCCTAACTATAATAAGGCAGAGGGAAAAAATGTAGCACTGAATAATAGAAGAATAAGGAAGAAAGAAGGAGAGGAGAAAAGCAAATACACTATAAACTGGAAAAAGAGAAAATGGGTAAATTAAGAAAAGGGCACATTTACGGCAAGTTTTCCAAGCGCATTTCTATAAGGTAGAATTTAAGCTCTGCTAATTTAAATGCATTTTTACTAGATTGAAACAAAGTTCTCAAAAATATTAGTTCCCACAGAGAGCTTTTTATTTTCTAGCTAACCTACTCCAAATTATCTAACCTTATTTGGAATTAGGAAAGGAAAAACAAGCATTAATCTAGGCATGAGAATATTTTGATATAAAATACCAAAGGTTTTTTCTTCCAATGAGAAAAAAGCAAAAGTCAGGCTGACTATGATTAGTGTTCAGATCATGAATATATTTGGCTTTTGTTGTAATATTAATCAAAGTTAACTCCAAAACAGTTACTACAACATAGCTAGAAAAAAGTCTACCTAAGTCACCAGTCCTCAAACTCTTTGGTCTCAGGTTTCCTTTATACTCCTAAAAGTTATTGGGGCCATCAAACAGCTTTTATGTTGGTTACATCCACCAATATTCACTGTATGCGAAGTTAGAACTGATAATTTTTAAATGTGTATTGATTCACTTAAAATAACAACAATAAACCCATTTCATGCATTTATATATATTCCTAAACAGAAAAAAAATAGTAAGAAAATGTCATCTTTCTCACATTTTTGCATATCTCTAATTTGAGCTAGCCAAAGACAGCTAAATCCTCATAACTGTCTCTTCACTTTATCTGTTTTTTGTTTTGTTTTGTTTTTTTTTTTTTGTGGGCCCCTCGCTGGTGGCTGGGGATCGAACCAGTGCTGCAGAGGCTGCGGGCAGCCTCGCCACCCAGCGTTCAACAGCTGTGCCACCAGGGGAAGCCCTTCACTTTATCTATTTTGATATGATATGGTTGGCCAAAGTAAATGAAGAAATGCCATTCTCATTCAGATATGTAGCTGGAAAAGTAAAAAATATTTATAATAATATGTTCAAATAATTATGAAAATTCTTTGGTAATGATATGCCAAAAATTGACAATTGGTAGTTTTAAAGGTTGGTTGCAATGTACAATCTGAAATCATATAAATGAAACTTTTATGTTACATAACAATTTTAGGCCTATCCTGTACTTTGAATGGATATTTTACCACTGCATGATTTTGTAGTATCATGAATTGGTCATTTGAAAAACAGTGGTCCAATGAATATTTGGAGGTTTTCCAAATATTGACATTTTAGTATATAACATCAAAAAGATTTAATTTACTTATGACCAGCCTCAGCAGAAAAGAATCACTACTAGTAAGCTATAAAGCTTACATTAACATACAAGTTTTCTAAAATTCTAATTTTCACTTGAAAGTTTGAATTTTATTAGGGGCAACAAATACTGTTTCTTTTCTTGAAGCAGTAGTCTCATTTCATTTATTCTGCTCATGTCTGCCAGCTACATGACTCAGAATGTTAGTAGTTCATCTATCACTTGTTCTTTGAAGTTAAAATGGTGTTCCATGATTTTTAAAAAAGGAGAATTTGGCCCACAATTGGCTGGCATATAAGCTTTTCTTCAGACTAACCACAAAACATTTAAATGCAGAAGTGCTTTAATTCACATTTCTCATTTTATCAAATAGAATAACTAAAAAGTTGTGTGTTCAAAGGGTTGTGATTTAGCAAACTTTATATTTTTTTATTACTTCATCAAGGATATATTTAAGTGAAACTGGCATTTTTCCTGCAATGCAAATGCACAGTTGAAAATTATAATGACTACTAGTACAGCTCGGTGGTATCACTGCCTTTAATTCATGCTAAAGCACCAGCAGTTTTAGCCACCATTGCTCTTGCATAATCAGTTCAGATAAACAGCAAAAAATATCTTAATATTAATTATGAAAAGTGCTTTGGCTTCACAGATTCCTTTTGTGAATCTCACTCTGATTCATTTAAAGCATGTAAGTCAAGGGGAACTAGACTCTCCTACATGAAAAGAAATGGAACTTAGGAGAAACAGAGCAAGTTGTCGCTGTCCCTACCTCCTCTTAATGGCTTAGATGAGCAAATCCAAGGGACCAAAGAGGAGTAGGTTTCCTATGATGGACATAAGCTGCGATGAGGAAAGGAACTTTCTAAGAAAAAATCCACAGTGTTCATGTTTCACTTATTTATACAGTGTTTTGTGGCTCGTATAGATTATCAGTGCAACTCTTTATCCCAGAATTCATTTGCTGAAGATCTAACTCCGAGTGCCTTAGCATGTGACTGTATTTGGAGAGAGGGCCTTTAAAGAAGTTAAGAAGGTAAAATGAATTTATATAGGTGGGCCCTAATCTAATATGACTGCTGTCATAAGAACAAGAGATTAAGACATAAACGACATAGACACACACACACACACACACACACACACGCACGCACACACACACGGAAGACCATGTAAAGACAAAGAGTCAGCCATCTAAAAGCCACAGAGTGGACCTCCCTGGTGGCGCAGCGGTTGAGCGCTGGGTTGTGAAGCTACCCGCAGCCTCTGCAGCGCCGGTTCGATCCCCGGCTGCTCCCCGGCCACCGGAGGAGGGTCCCACATGGCACGCAGACCTCTCCTGCCGCCTGCTGCTCCCCTCAGCAGTGTACTTCGTCCTTCTGCCTGCTCAGGCTCTGGTGAATTCTCTCGCCCTCCAGCGCTTCTGACTGTACCCAGTGATTGTATGTATAAATAAATAAATCTTTTTTAAAAATAAATAAATAAATAAATAAAAGCCACGGAGTGAGGTCTCACCAGAAACTGACCCTGTTGACATCTTGATCTTGGATTCTAGCCTCTAGAACTGTGAAAAAATAAATGGGCATTGTTTAAGACACCTAGTCTATGTATTTTGTTATGTAGTTCTAGCAAACTGACATTATAGACCCTGACAAATTCGCCCCGGAAAAGTCAAGATCCAAAAAGCAGAGGTCCAGCAAAATGAAGTTGAATCAAAAGGAGTCATATTCATCATCAACCACATGCTTCCTAAGGAATAATGTCTGGGTCAGTAGCTCTCAAGCTCTGGAGTTCCTAAAGATCCTGTAAGGGGCTATCAACCATATCATTTATCAAACCCAACTCTAGAAATCCAAGGTAGGAGTCCTGAGGTGGCTACATGTGTCAATGAGCACCCCAGGGGATTAAAATATATATATAGTTCACAAAGTACTATTTGCCTGCCAAGGAGAATAACTTGAGATGAAATTAAGAAAGCAAGGAAAATGATGCTAATTCTCTTTCTTTCTCTTTGAAGAATCCAAATAAATAAACCACTTTTCCCTTATCCTTTCCCTTTTAAATGCCTGGTATTAAAATTCTTAATTTGGTTGAACTCGTGGGAGAGCCAAGATAACTGAAATCAGCTAAATGTTGGTAAATTACTGAAACTAGACCCAAAGTAGGTCTGCAACAGTTCTTTAACCTCTCCAATTTAAAAACAAGCACACAAATTCAGTGTTTATGTATACTTTTGGAAATGTGTTTCTATACCATATTAAATGCCATAAACATTGATGGATAATACCTTCGTACTCACTCAGTCATGATAGCAAATATGACCTAAAGGATAAGAATGCCATTTATAAAAGAGATTAATAGTTGTGATGGCTCATTTATATATTATGTGTGTGTATATATATATATGTATATATATATATATATATATATATCCCATTGGTTCTATTTCTCTGGACAATACTGACTAATGCACAAGTCAATATTTTCTTTAAAAATAACATTCTATTTGACATTAAATGAGTTCTTGTATTTCTCCTGTTAAATCTTATGTAGATACAATAGAGGTTGAAACTAGTAATTAAAAAAAAAATCCCCTACATTGCACATATCACCCTATCCACTCAGTTCCCTGCTTATAAACTAGTGACCATCTAAAAATTTTTTCTTTAGTTAGGTGTTAAGGACTGAGAGCTTATTCTCCCCATAGAAATAATTTTACAGGCTACAACATGAAAGCCCCCTTGACCTATGATAGGAATTCTATGAAATTTCAAAAAAAAAAAAAAAAGTGGCACATTATCATAATACAAATGAGTATACAAAGCAGAAAATAATAAAATGAATTAAAATACCATAATGTTTTTCCACATAATCTTGAACAAAT